CCTAAACTCCTAAACCCTAAACCGACTCTGGCCGGGGAACGGACCTTCAGGACCCTGCCAAGGGACATTTTCAGTTGATGCTGTGGCCTTAACTAGTAATTGCAATAGGGTTTTGGGGGGTCTAGGGTTTAGGATTTAGGGTTTGGGGGGGTCCGTTATACTATGCTTATTATAATAACGCCACTGTATTATATAGGGTTTGGGGTTGGGTTTATAGGGCCGAGGCAGGACAGAAGGGCCCCTAAGACGGACCCCTAAAACGCACAGATCCATCCAAGTTGCACTGTCGCATTTCCCAAGGTAGCCTGTCCCGAGATGCTGATGTTCTCGAAACCTGAAGCACCAGTAGTCAGAGACGCGTGGCTGTCGAAGCTGGCTTCTACGCTGTTTTTCTTTTCATGTCTCTCTATCTATCTATCTATCTATCTATCTATCTATCTATCTATATATATATATATATATGTTATAATGTACTGTATATGCAAATCAGCAGTCGTATGCACCCCATGCAATGCCTGCTACGTATATCTACATATGCGTGGGAGGGAGGGGGAGAGAGAGTGAGAGAGAGACGCGGAGAGAGAGAGAGAGAGATCGAGGGAGAGAGAGAGAGAGTGAGAGTGAGAGTGAGAGTGAGAGTGAGAGTGAGAGTGAGAGTGAGAGTGAGAGTGAGAGTGAGAGTGAGTGTGTGCGTGTGTGCTTGTGTAGACAAAGACGAAGGTCATCTCTCTCTCTCTCTCTACCTACCTGTCTTAGCTGTGTGTCTGTCGATCTGCCTACAATGTTGATTTCCTTCTATACAGCTGGGCCATCGTAAATAATAAAAGACAAAAGAGCAGAAGGAACCACGAATACAAAAGGGCACCCCGAACTGGAACACTTCCTGCCAGTCCAAGGCACAACAGCGGCTGGCGATCTCCAACCTCTCAGTGGTAAATGTAAGGGTCCACAGGACCTAGGACCTAGGGGAGTATATGATTATTCGATATGATTCGATCCTGTTAAACATGAATAAGTAGACCCTAAACCCTAAACCCTAAACTGTGTATACCCTAAACCCTAAACCCTAAACTGTGTATACCCTAAACCCTAAACCGCAGTATACTTGGACCCTTGGGGGAATAGCATGGCCCGGAGGCTCAGAGCTCACGTGGGACGGCTTTTATGAGCAATTGTCGAGTGCATTCACTCTGCCCTCTACAGATAAGGGCCAATTTAGGGTTCAGGGTTGAGGGCTTAGGGTTGAGGGTTTAGGGTTTAGAGTTACCGTTAAAGCTACAATGCACTGCTGCTGCTACTGAAGGTGCGCTCGCTGTCAAAATTCTGCTTGCTTGGCTTCAGTACACAGCCGCATAGTTCAAAACTGAGGGTTATAAACAAAAACACAATTATAAACCCGGAATCAGACTGTGGAAACGTCATAAGTTATAAGCCATCGAAAACACCAGAAAGCGCACCTACACCCCGAAGTACAAAAAACATGAACGTGATGCCCACAAAACCCTATCGACCCTAAACATAAGCCTTGAGCCCCCTAAACTCCGAAATAACAAGATCTGGCCAGGCCACTCCTCTACGGAATGGCAGAAAGGGCAAGCCTTGTTAGGACAGTCGATGCCATCCTTGGGAACAGTTTAGGGTTTAGGGTTTACGTAGGGTTTTGGGATTAAGATGATTCAGGGTTTTGGGTGTAGGATTGAAAACCTGAGCTCTAGATCTTCATGGTTTTGGCTTGAGTGTTTCAGCTGCTGCAGGGTTTCAGGGTTAAGGGTGTACGCATATTTCAGAGCTTAGGGTTCAGGACTTTGCACATGGGAATATAATCATATATATATATATACACATATATACATACATACATACACATACATATACATATACATATACCTATACCTATACATTTACATATACATATACATCTACATATACATATACATATATATAAACATACATATATATATATATATATATATCATGGTTTGAGGCTTCGGAGGTATGTAAGATTCAGGGTTCGGGATCTTGGATTTGAGATTTAGAGTTCAGCACTGGGTTGGAAACGAGATGAGTCAGTATGAGACGACAACCCCCCAATGGCTCCATGTGCCCATATAGTATATATATATATATATATATATTTATTTATACTATAGGCCTTCAAGTGCCTATACAGGAACCCCTTTGAGGCCTAAGTATACACTATATGGGTACAGGGAGCCTTTAAGTACATTAGCGAAGGGAAACCTAAAACCTAAACCCTGCATGCAGGAGAAGCCAGAAAGTTGGAACATCATGATCCTCGTGCCCTTGAGGTAAAGCACAACGAATCCTAGCACTATTCATCCCAAATCCAGATTCCAACTTTCTGGGCTTCCCAACAAAAACCCTTGGGTTACACCCTAAACCCTAAACCCTGCTTCCTTCTAAACCCTTGGGCAGCGCCGGGCCTCTAGGGGCTCTTGCAGTTTGGTGCTTGCTGCTTGCGAGGGTTTAGGACGCTTAGCATTTAGGGTTTAGGGCCTGGGGTTTAGGGTTTAAGGGTTTAGGGTGTAGGGTTCAAGGTCTAGGGTTTAGGTAGGGTGTAGGATTCAGGATTGAGGGTTCAGGGTTGAGGCTGCAGCCTGGATCCCGCTGCTGTTTCTGAGCTTCGGCTTGACGGTTTTCGGGCTCCGGGTGCCGGACTCAGACGTAGGTGATATCTTGTAAGTTGGCCCTTGAAGCCTTTGAAACATCATCGTAAGTAGGATCCTCTTAGTGGATAACAACAAATGTGCCAGGGGCCGAGGCTAACCTCACAGGACAGCCGGGCAGATTAGCTATGGAAGTTTAAGGAGCAACACCAAGGAAGCCAAGCAGGCCGTAACTCTGGAAACTCCAACTCATCCATCTTAGAGAAAGCTTGAGCCCTAAACCTGCACCAAAGCCCTTGATCTACTGCAACAACCAAACTCACGACCAACTCCCAAATTTACCCTCGCGGCCATAAACCCAGAGAAGCAACCGTTCCCCCGACTGCCCAGCCTTGGTGTTTTTGCACATCATTGCATGCTTCAGCTCCTGGGAAGGATCCACAGTCATTCTGAGCCCTCAAAGTCGTCGGCTACCGAGTTTGCTTGGGATTTCGGGTCCAGACTTGCGCTTTTGGGCATGTCAGCATGCTGCTCTGCTTGAAGGCACATGCGCAGCGTTAATCACATTTGTAAATGCAGAATTGAGGCTAAAAAACGTGGAATCTAAAGCTAGCCTACTTACAAACGTACTCACGCAATGGTAGTGGTTGTGGCGGTGGCTGTGGTGGTGGTGGTGGTGGTGGTGGTGGTGGTGGTGGTGCCGATGGTTGTGGTCGTGCCGGTGGTGGTGCTGGTGCTGGTGCTGGTGCTGGTGCTGGTGCTGATGCTGGTGCTGGTGCTGGTGCCGGTGCTGGCGCTGGTTGGCAACCATCGTTGTAGTAGCAATGAGCATAGTCATACGAACCGTAATAGTAACCGTACTTGTGCAGTACTGGTACTGGCACAATATAGTACTATTACAAGCAACATTGCTAGCACCAGAAATAGAAATGGTAAGAGTACTTGTGCTGTCGTTTATTAGCAACAGTGACAATAACAGTACTCGTACTAGTTTGAGCGAAAGCTAAAGGAACGGCAATAGCAGCGTAGTGCTGTAGTGGTAGCGGTAGCAGTAGCAGCCGTAGCAGTCGCGGTAGGTAGCAGGCGTAGCAGTGGTAGCAGTACTAGTAGACGTCCTCAGAGAGGAGTCGAGGTAGTCATAATAGTAGAAGAAGAAGAAGAAGTAGTAGTAGTAGTAGTAGTAGTAGTGGCAGTAGTAGTTGCAGCAGCAGGAGTAGTCGTCGTCCTAACCTCTCATTGTAGACGGCAGCCAGAACACCAAGTCAACAACTCCTAACGGTGCGGTTTGCTGTAGGGTTTAGTTTCGGGACTAGGGTTTATCGTTACAGCCGGCGAAAACACCCTTCTCAGTCAGCCAAGTCACAGGAGGAACTGTTCGCCTCTGCTTGTAGTGCCTTCGCGGATCTGAGATTGAATGGGTCGTGAAAGGCTTGCTTTCGGATTGAAGTAATATGGGGGCCAAAATGGTATTGATAATTATTTAGGCCCCTATAAAAAAGCATCTAATCTTGTCCATTCCTCTCCTCAGCTTGCCGGGGAAGTGTGAGGATCCATGTCGTTTATCCTATAATTCTCTATAATAAGGAAGCCCAAAGTAGCACCCTAAACCCTTATAGAAGCCCTTATAGAACCCTTTAAGGAACCCTTTTAAAGGAAGCCCAAAACCCTATTCTACTCCTTAAGGCCCCTGTATTACCCTGTCTGTCGACAGTCTGCTCATGGGTTGAAGCAGGAAACGGGAACCTTGCACTGTTGAGGTTCTATAGAGGGTATGGGTTTAGGGCTGAAAGTGAAAGGGATTAGGTTTTAGGGGTTTAGGATTTAGGGTTTTAGGGTTTTAGGGCTTAGGATGCGCATGGCATGGGACTAGCCCTGCTTCAGAACGGCTTCTCGGACGGAGATACACGCACTGATGCTCCAAGTTCTGACTATGGATGGTTCCGAAGCACAGAAGTCGGCACCGACGTAAAGTATGGACCCTAAACCCTAAACCGTTATGTAGCAGGCAGCCTTAAGGAGAAGAGCTGTACATGAAAGGCCTAACCAGTGAGGCGGTGCTGGTGAGCTAGTCAGCTAGTGATGATCGTACCACACCATACCACTGGCAGAGGAGAAACAAGGGTTTAGGGTTTTAGGGTTTAAGGCCACACCATACCACTAGCAGATGAGAAACATACGAAGCCAGGTTGCATGCCAGCTGGATACGAAGATACGTGCAACAAAGGCTAGCTCCCGTAACCCCGAGTCTCAAACCCTCACTCTCAGACAGCGGCCGACAAGCGCCGTCATCTTCGATCTTACTCCAGAGACAGTTGTCTAAGTCAGGGAAGTTAATTACCTTCGAGATCCATGAACCCCCTAAACCCTAAACCGTGGTCCTGACTGTAAGAGTGAGAAACTCTTTCGAACTCTTGAGTTTCCCTGAGGCGCCATACGCTTGGCTTCTAGAAGTTCGAACTGAAGGGATGGCCCCTTGGCCCCATTCAGGGTCCACCTTGGATCTGGGTTTAGGGTTTAGGGTTTAGGGTTTAGGGTTTAGGGTTTAGGGTTTAGGGTTTAGGGTTTAGGGTTTAGGGTTTAGGGTTTAGGGTCTATGAATACCTGGACCACGAAAGTATGTACACTAATAGCCTTTTAGAGGTTTGGGGCCATTATTCTACCTCTTTTCTTTTTTTTTTTTGGAGGGGGGGGGTTAGGTAGGGCTTTCGGTGTGGGTTCAGGGATGAACTCCTTCTTGCTGCTGCTGCTGCTGCCGCTGCTGCTATGTTTTCTACTGGTCATCTCCATATCGATGATGACTTCTACCGCCAACAGAAACACCAGAGCCATACTGCTACTGCTGCCAAGGTTCATTGAGGGCTAAGCCCTAAGCCAAGCTTAAGCCACAAACCAGGAAATCCAACCTCTCCCTACCCATACGAAACACCTAAACCCTAAACCCGAAACCCTAAACCCGAAACCCTCAACCCTAAACTTGAAACCCTAAACCCGAAACCCTTAACCCTAAACCCTACCTCTCCCTACCCATACGAAACCCTAAACCCTAAACCCTACCTCTCACTACCCATACGAAACACCCCCCCTAAGCCCGAAACCCGAAACCCCAAACCCTACCTCTCCCTACCCATACGAAACCCTAAACCCTAAACCCTAAACCCTACCTCTCACTACCAATACGAAACCCTAAACCCTAAACCCTATACCCTACCTCTCCCTACCCATGCGAAACCTAAACCCTAAACCCCAAACCCTAAACCCTTCAAAGCTACAGCACTTCCCGACGAAGTCAAGGCGCAGTTCCAGCTCGACCTCGCGCAAGGTCTTGCGGATGGTCGCCTTCTTCGGTTTTGAAGACGTTTAGGGTGGGTTTAGGGTTTAGGGTTTATAGGGTTTGAAGAATGCAAGGTGTGGTTTTTATTGTATTGGGGTTTATAGGGCTTGAGGTTTGGGGGTTTAATCAAATTTATCACATCTTATGGGGAGAAGTATGTGGCAAAAGGGTGTTTTGAAGCCGGCGTTGCATCAAGGCTTCTGGCAGTGGCGAGCCGGAGACGGGTCTCGTGCTAATTTGAAGTTAGGGCACCCGTGTTAACGTGAAGTCTACGACACTCAAGATTTCAGGGATTGGCATGCCGGGCTTGCCAGTGTAACCAGTGCTTTCGGGACTAGCCCGACAAGTGAAGCCGTAGATGCACGCGTGCCTTGGATGACTCGATGAACTGAGAGCTGTGCGCACAGGCATTGAGGGTTGAGTGGAATCCTGGAACATAGGACGGGTTGAGAAGGTGGTGTGCTGATGTACCGATTCGATTTCGGTCCAAAATGAAGGGTGGTTTAGAGCTGCGAGGTACCTAACTAACATGGTGCCATGTCGGGGCACGAAGAATGTCTGCCCAAACACGCCTAGACACTTCCTTAACGCTCGGCCTGATATAAGCCCTCAGCCGACAAAAAAGCATAGATCCTCGCCCCAAGCCCTCCTAAACCCTAAACCCTAAACCCTAGAGCCCTATAACCTCTAAAGCCCGAAGGCTAGCAACCACCAGGCTTCACGAAATCCTTCCCGAAAGCCCCTTCGCCGTACACCAGACAGCTCAAGAACTTTGGAGGCAATGCGGCTGAAGGCTCTACAAGGTGTGTGTGTGTGTGTGTATATATATATATATATATATATATCGTATATAACATAGTGTATAATCTAATATAATATAAGGCCTACTGTAGGAAACTTCTCCTAAGTAACCCTGAGGGTGAGTTCGTGACTTCTTCAATGCTTCGACATGAAACCTGCCTGTCTTCTCCGTTGTAGCTCCTTTTCGAGGTTACCATCTAGGATCCAAAATGTTCGGATTGCTCAAACCTTAAACCCTAAATCCTAAACCTTGAAAAAAGGAACTAACTACAACGGAGACTGGAGGTATGGCTTGGAGTATCAGGCTCAGGCTTCGGATGGCACGGCTTCTGGCTCAAAATAGCCCAAAAGCCTTATATAGCATGGTCTTTGGGCCCAAAAGCATTAAATATGAGTCTTTAGAGACTTAGGGTAACAAAGCCCCAAAGACCCAAACCCTCCCGAGGAGCCTCCGCAGTGGAGACATGGGCAACCTGACCCGGGCCGATACTGACCTGCACATGATTATGCTGTGGGCTTTGGATTTAGGGTGTAGGGTGTTCAGGGTTTAGGGTTTAGGCTGTAGGGTGTGCATGAGGTTTGGTGGTGCATGTGCAAAGTGTAAGGAATGGGAGCTGTGCAATTGCGAGGTTGAGCACGGATTCGGATTCCAGCTCAGAGATTTTGGGTGGCCTATAACTCCTTAACCCCTCAACCCTGAACCCAAATGCCCCTTGAATCTAAACCCCGTGAAAAAATGCGCTTGAAAGTTTGACCTTACGTTTTGTGAGCCTACCTCTTTTCTCAATTGTAAGCCCTTTTCGGTTGTAGGGTTTTAAGATCCTATCTATCTATGTATCTATGTATCTATCTATCTATCTATCTATCTATCTATCTATCTATCTGTCTCTCTATCTATCGATCTATCTATCTACCTATCTGCCTATCTATCTATCTGTCTATCTATCTATCTATCTATCTATCTATCTATCTACGGTTAAAGCTAAAGCAAGAAAAGGAACTACACTGGAAACAATCCAGGTACCCTTAAAGGCAGTTTCCACCTTGAAGGGAGCGCCCAACGTCTCCGGAGGGATCAGCCTCGATGGTAGAGTTTAGTCTAAGGTAGCCCCTAGTATGGGCCCTTAACTCTGGGACCCTAATATACCTACTATATACCCTATATATACCCTTAAGGGACCCTAGAATCCCCGAAGGGCCCATGTCAGGGGCCCATGGGTTCAACCTTAGAGTTTAGGGTTCAGGAGTGTTGCTATGGTGTCCGGGGGCACAGTATTATGATGAAATTCATAGGTTTATGCCCTAAACCCTAAACCCTAAACCCGAAAACCTAAACCCTAAAACCCAAACCCTTAACCCTAAACCCGAAACCCGAAAACCTAAACCCTAAAGCCCAAACCCTAAACCCGAAACCCGAAAACCTAAACCCTAAAACCCAAACCCTAAAACCCTAAACTCACGAGTTTGCTGATTCGTGTGTAGGAGCTTCGTGTTAGCAGGCAGGGTCACAGGAGAGGTGAGGAGACGTAGGGATGCTTCTTCAGCATTCCACAGGAAGATCGGAATTATAGGGTTTAGGACGGTTTAGGGTTTAGGGTTTAGGGTTGAGGGTAGTGGTTGATATGTTTTTGGTGCGGCCCCTTTCCTCTTTCGGTTAGGCTTTAGGCTTATTCTCCCTAAACCTATCCTGAACTATGCCATGCGACAGCAAGTTGACACCAAAGACTTCCGAGGCACTTGATCGACAGACCAGCCACCTTGTTCTTGAAGTCCTGGCAGTATGTAGCGGCGTGAATAATGGTACCCGAGCACATGGAGATCTCGACCACTACCAGAGCCATCTCCAAACACTGCTGAGCTATGTATTCCTCGAGAATGAACTGAAGCGGGCAGTCGCCAGCTGCCGAAGAGATTTGCTGGGCATGCGACCCAGCATGCCCCAACCCCTAAACCATCCAAACTCTGTAAACCCTGTCGAACCTAAACATCCTAAACCCTAAACAGTACAAACCAGATCAGCCCTAAGCCCTGTAAGGAACCATATGCCCGCGACAACTTCCCATTCGAAGGCCCTCAACCGAATCCCAGCCCGAAGCCGTCCTTCATGGCTTCATCCATTGCATAGAAGGCACTCCTTAGGGTTTATAGCGTTTAGGGTTTAGGTCTAGGTTTAGGGTTTGAGGTTTATGGGGTTTGGGGGGGATAGCCGGCTATACAGAATTTACAGAGCGTGCAAAGATGTTGTAGCTGTGTGTGTGTGTATGTCCGTAACTCTGTATGTATGTCGCGGGTGTAAAACCCCTGAACCCCAACTACTTGGCCGTTCCCTTTCTTGCCGCGGGCTAGTGCTTCTAGTAATACCAACGTTGGAGCGCACGGTTGAAGGTTAACTCCAAAACAGTCGCTTCAAAAAGCTTCTGCTTTTTGCTCCCTATGTGACTGGACTCGGGCTGTTGACTTGTGAACGGATGATTGTGTCGTCGGAAATGCAGCTGACCGTGCATCAAAGGCTGAGCAGAGCTGTACCCTGCGGCTTTGAAAAGACTTGGACCCTCAAGGATCCAGCTTCCCTGTCTTCCGAGCGGCGAATGATACGTGTGGAGCTCGATAGTTTTCCTCGGAACACCATCTGGGTTATGGCTCAAGCTCAGGGGGTTAGGGCCCATGGATATTACTTGCAGTTCACCCTAGATTACCCTACCGAATTTCGCAGATGCAGCACAATCCCCACGTCCTGACAAGAATATTGAGAACAAGAGTGTTGATGATGGCACCCCTAAACCCTAAACCCTAAACCCTAAACGGCCCTAAACTGTATAAGCCCGTATACCCATACAGACCCTGAGCCGGCTCTGAAGCTAAGGAACCCTCTCCCTGCTTGGTTCTGCGTTGCACAAAGAGGGTTTAGGGTTTAGGGTTTAGGGTTTAGGGTTTAGGGTAGCTACCCAGTCTTCGATCGTGTTGACAAGCGGCGGTCCGTACATTGCCATCCAGCACATGTCGATGTATGTCATCTAGCAAGGTTGAAGTCTGCCTATAGTCTCCATTGTAGTTCCTCTTTGGGGAGACCTTACAAATTCCTTAATATATAATTGGCTAAACCAAAAAAAGGAACTACAATGGAGACTAAAGTCTGGTACTGTAAAGCTGCAGAACACCCTCCAGACTTCTCATGGCCCTACATAGGAGCCACCTGGTTGACCTGCTGTAGATTTCGACATATCACCGGGAGACCCGAAATTGTCGGCCAAGGCTCGTGATGTTTGGTCCAGTGGTGAGCCCGCAGTATTTCTGCACCATTTCTCTCGCTTGCTGCGTGGCCTGCACCATCATCGGCGTGCAGGTGAGGCTTCTTCAACTCTTGATCCCTGTGTTTACGAATTTTGCGATAATAAGGAGCCTATCATTTCAGACCTAACCTGGTGTCTGGAACTCTCCTCTGAGGGTGCAGATGATGTGCAGGACTGCATCGCAGACCTTCCCCGCACTTAGGCGCATGAGCTTCATCCAAAGCCCCGAAACCGGAGCCAAACCCAACAACCCCATGATTCCTATTTAGGGTGTGCAGCAACCTTACTCCCCAAACCCTATGAAAGTCCTACTCCCCAACCCAAGAATTCAGGGCAAGCCCCTTAAGATCCTTTAAGCCACTTGCATCGGAAGCCCCATAATCCCGAAGCTCGAACATGTTCCTGAGACCCTCTCAAAGCTTGAATCCCTAAACCCCAAAGTTTTAAAACCATACTACCTAATGATGATCACTCAAGCGGCCCCGAAGCCCAGAAAGTAAGGACTACTTCTGACCCTAAACCCTGAACTCCCAACCTTATATCCCAAGCCTCTAAATGGGTAGTTCTCTAAATTAGGGTCCCTTTTAGGGTCTGTTTTCTTGTCGGCGGGGTGTCATACTATTTTGGGAAACTAAAAGGGGGCGTGACTACCCAAATCAGCATCATCCCCCTTAAACTCTTTGCCCAAACCCTAAACCCTAAACCCTAAACCCTAAATCCAAAACCCAAAACCCAAAACCCTAAACCCTAAACCCATCGAAGTGAAAGTGCCTGGCATGGACTTGGGACCTAACCACTTGAAGACCCAAAACATACCTACAAAAACCTGCATTTGCGGCGGCTTCTTGATAATATAAACCGGAATACGGATTTTATGGGGACCATTCAAGAATAGGGCTTCTGGGAGGTGAAGGTACAATATGAACTCGGAGGAACCCCAGTGCTTTTGCCTTCGAAATCTACAATGGAGACCATAGGTAGGTGTTGTAGGGCTTAGGGGACCTACCCACAGCATGCGATGTTACGTACATAGAAAAGAAGATAGCACGGAGTAGGGTTTCAACTTCTAATAAGATTGGGAATTACTATTCCGTTTCCGGGTTTAGGGTTCTGTTTATTAGAGTATGGGCAACTGGGCATTGCGATTATACTCTATGCCAAGATTTTCCCCAAAAAGGGGTACCTAGGATCCTTGCATTAAAAACTTGAGGGCTTTAGGAGTGGAAGACTCCAGCTCCTTCGAAACCCTGTGAAAGTCCGGGTTGGGGTGCATATGCTTAGGGGTTTAGGAGTTTAGGGGTTTAGGGTTTAGGGTTTAGGGTTTGGGGTTTGGGGTTTAGGGTTTAGGGTCTAGCGTTTAGGATGTTGGCCTGATTGTAGTCCCTAATTAAATACGTTGTAGGGCCCTATGTTTGGGTACAGGGAATTATGGCTCAGGTAAGCTGTTAGTTTCGTGTACGTTGCAGCGACGTCGTGTTCCCGTTCATGGACCCCAAGGGACCAGTCCTGCTTTCACCTGATTAAGAAACCCTGGCCCTATAACCCTAAACCCTAAACCCTAAACCCTAAACCCTAAACCCTAAACCCTAAACCCCAAATATATGTGGTTTCAAACTAGGAACCCTAGGTTTCTTAATCAGGTTCCTATATGTAGGAACCTGATTGAGAAACCCTGGCCCTGTAACCCCAACATATTAGGGTTCATATTAAGAACCCACAATAAGGGGCCAGGGTTTGTTAATCAGGTTCCTATATTAATAATCGCCTGCCACACACAAACACCAAGTGTGATGCAAAGCTCCAAGGGTCCGGATGTCCCTGTTTCTGAAGATCGAAGCCCAAAAAACAAGCACACACCTGCCCGTTCAGCCTCCCCCTCCCACCCCGCGACATAAACGCTAATAGCCTACTAATAGCACAAAACCCTAAACCCTAAACACTCTAAACCCAGCGCAGGTCAGCCTGGTTGGGGCCGGAGAAGAGAACCAAGCTGTAGCCCAAATTCCTGCATCCGTCAAAGCTGCTGGCTGAAGGTTGCAGGGGAGAGGTGTCAGCCAAGCCTGCCGGGTTTCGGGTTTGGGGTTTCGGATTTGCAATCTCGAAGGTTGGGAGGACTTGAGGCACAAAGGAGTCAGGCTTTGGGGCGAGGTCTTTGCAGTTAAGACAATGAGCCCAGCTTGGACTAGAATTAAACTGCCGACAACTTTTCTACTCGCCATACGATTACCAGCTCTGGGGCCACATTTCCGTGCTCACGCACACAGGGGGGCTGGCGTGGATTCCCGACGATGATGGGTCCCTGCTTCAGGGCTGCGGAGTTCGCATCTTCCGGCCCTTACGAGCATGCTGGTGTCTACATGGTGAAAGGTCTAGATGACACCGGGCATTCGCTGAACTCCCAGCTGCAACTCTCCTATACGCAGAAGTGTGGTCATACATCCACAGCTTTCTCGCTGAGCATACATCGCCTTATGAACCTGAAAAGCCACAGGAGCCTGAGCCGTCTACTGCATGTTGCCTGTTGGGTGTGGGCTTTGATGCTTGGTGTTTTCTACCTGCCTTCCAGAGTCAATCAAGAGATTGACAAATCCATCTCATGCACCAAAACATGCGCCCTACACGTCGTACTGCCGGTCACTCTGAGGATCAACACGCATGGAGCTTAAACGAGCGATGCTGAGCAATTCCTCATGTCAGGTCGCTGCAAGGCACTGATCACAACACAACCGACTAATAAAAACTTGTACTATAGGGGCCTCAATAATTAGAATAGGGTTTCGGGCCCCTGTTTTGTATAGTTATGGTACGGAAGCCCCAAGAATAATGTAGGTAAGTATTGACGCCCCTATTAAGTTCCGTCTGGATCGCGACACCCGTTGCTTCTCAACCCAGGCCTCGTATCTTGTCGGAGGATGATGCTGGCACCAGAATCCCCAGAGATTCTCCTCGGAAGCGTCTTCGCGGTTTTCGGTTCAGGGTGCAGGGGTGGGGGTTCAGGTTAGTGATATAGTGTTTGGGGTCTTGCTGCTAGACGGAGAGTCGACTGGTCAGGCATGAAGACGTTCCGATGCATCGATACACATCCGAAGTCAGCCACATAACCAAGATAGGGACCTCAACAACTGGAGCATTTCGTTTGGGCATATTTCCGTGTGGATGTTCTGGACTCAAATGGTACTCTGCCTACTTGTTCAAACCTCTACAACACTTTCTGTAGCCCTCAACCTTAAAACCATCATTATGGAACCCTGACTGGCTAGAACGCCCGTGCAGAACCCTCTATTCTACATGGTCTGAGTAAGCAGTAATGGCATCCCTAAAAGCCCCAAACCTCTTCTCTTAATTTATTAAGATTAAGGCCCCTATATAAACTACCCTTGGAAGGTAACCTCATGACCCTCTTTGAGGAACTTTGTTCGAATTTTTAAAGACCACACCCCCTGAACCCCAAAACCTAAACCCTAAACCGTGAACCCTAAACCGTGAGAGGAACTCTGTTCGAACTTTTAAAGACCACACCGCGCCACAAAGCGGGGAAAGCAGCCTGAACCCTAAACCCTAAACAGTCGAGCGGCTGGATCAAAGATTCCGTCAGCATCGGCACCAGGGATTGAGGGACCTTTGCCGGGCTCTGGGACTGTAAGGTTTAGGGTTTAGGGATTAGGGTTTAGGGTTTAGGGGTTTAGGGGTTTAGGGTTTAGGGTTTAGGGGTTTAGGGGTTTAGGGTTTAGGGTTTAGCTCATTCCTGGCATGAGACTTCCTCTTGAGGGTTATAGCTTCGGGGCCCTGAAAAGTATTTGTGAATAGGTACCTCTATAAGAACCATAAGGGATATGTTCCAGCTTCCCAAGTTGCCGCCCAGTTACAGGGCTCTGAGCTTTGGGAGTAGGGTGCTGGTTCTGGGGTTCTGGGGTTGAGGGCTTCAGGTCCTGGGTTTCGGGCTCTGGGAGTTTAGGGCTTCAAGATTTACCCTTGAAAACAAACAACCCCTAAACCCTAAACAGCTTACGGGTCTAGTTTCAGGGTTCGGGAGAAACTCCATCGCTTAAACCAAGACCCCCCAAATACCCCTCCTTGAAGCCTAAGAACCCTACCCTAAACCCTAAACCCTAAACCCTAAACCCGAAACCCTAAACCCTAAACCCTAAACCCGACTCTTAAGGACCATGAGGCCTCTAGCAAAGGGTACTGTGGTGGGGGGGGGGGGGGGGCGGG